GCATCACGTCACTGCGCATCACCTACTGCGCAGATGACACATTAACCTAACCTAACCTAACCTAACCTAACCTAACCCAACAGGTGTAATCCGAGTCACCTGAACATGGAGACCTGCGCATGAATTTTCGAAATAGACCATGGATGGTCGGATATTGCTGAAATTTTGAATGGACGTCGTGCTACAGGTAAGTAATAAAAATTCATACTCTTTCGTGTCACAACACTTACAATAAATTCACACGAAGCCATCAAAGTCGCGAGGTGGAAGAAACGCGGAATCAGATACCATCACTAATATCCGAATATTTCAACAAGGTGTTATGCACTTGAAATATTTTAAAATAAAATTTTAACATCTCTATTAGTGGTACTTACGCATAAGCAGACCTCACATGGAAGGCAACAACTAAAATTGCGTAAAATCAAGCTTAAATGTCGTGAGCCAAGAGTCATTCGAGGTCAACGAGAATGAAATCAATGTAAAAATTTTGAAGTATAAAGCTATGGTAGTGGGTCAAACACAAGATTGTTCAATAATTTATGAACATTGAAATATTTGAGTTTTTAATTTCCAGCAATCGATAATAGAACACATATGATGCCTTAACATAAACATCTTGCATCACGTCACTGCGCATCACCTACTGCGCAGATGCCCCATTAACCTAACCTAACCCAACAGGTGTAATCCGAGTCAACTGAACATGGCAACCTGCGCATGAATTTTCGAAATAAACCATGGATGGTCGGATATTGCTGAAATTTTGTATGCACGTCGTGCCACAGGTGAGTAATAAAAATTCATAATGTTTCGTGTCACAACACTTGTAATAAATTCACACGAAGCCATTAAAGTCGCGAGGTGGAAGAAACGCGGAATCAGATGCAATCACCAATACCCGACTATTTCAACAAGGTGTTAGGCACTTGAAATATTTTAAAATAAAATTTTAACATGTAAATAATGTTACTACACTCTAACTATTACTGTTTATACACATTCAAATTAAAACATTCTTTCTTTGAGACGACACATATTACCAACATTATCCAAGTTATAGCTAATAATAACACCTGCGAAATATTAATAAATATAGCAATTTAGAAGCATTCACAAATAAGTTTAGTCTGGAGAAGATAAATACTGCATTAAAAGACTAACTTACAATCTCTGTTTATTTTTGCTTAACGATTTCAGAATAATTATAATTTTTTAAAGTGGAATAAATACTGATGCTTTAAAAACAATACGTTTCTTGGTGTAGCTCATAACACCAATTTTTCCTAAACAATAATATGTGTTTAATTATAAAGCTCATTGATATCGTAAATAATACACACTACTATAAAGTGTTTCATTAAAATCGCTGTTGAAATATAACCTCAAAATTTTAATTTTGTCGCAATACTTTTATCTCTAAGATAAATTAATTAATAAAGAATTTTATGCCAAGTTTACGATCTGTCGCTACATCACGTCCGAAGCTGACATCACGCAGAAATCTAATCACAGAATTCTCGTGACCGCCATGTTGCAATTCCAAGATCAAAATGAAACGAGACCCCAATAAAAGTTTGGGTTTAGTGTCTGGTTTACAACACACAACTCTTGAATCCAAGAGCGGCGCTGGTGTTTTTTCTCGGTTGCTAACACGTCCACCATTTTCGAATTCTTGATGACAGGTAATTAAACGTAACAAGGATGTCGTAGTCACGAATTGAATGGCGTCCATACTATTTTAATGAAAATGTATCAAGAAGTTATTTAAAGTAACACGCACATAATAACACTGTAAACCCATGACTCTATTCACACACAGAAGAAGGCAATGGCAACCCACTTCTGGATCATCTGCCAAGAACGTATATGAACAGGTCCCAGTCCGAGAAAAGGATGGAAGGATCCTGTTCATATGGACCTGTCGTCAGACAGAACACTAAATAAAAATAAAAAAATAAACCCTATGTAGTCTGGTTTCCTTCAGTAATGAAAGCAGATACAAGTGAATTTACCCTTCAATGTAACTACACAATGTCTTTTCAACTTTATACTTAGTCCTGAAGATATCTAAACTATAGAATAAAAATAACTTATTCTATCTAATATAATATTATGCATGAGAATAGAGCAAAAGATCTTAATCCGTTAAGAAGCTAACAAATTACGAGATCAGAAAACGCAATGTTTTTTTAAGATAAAATCATTCGTTTCAAGAAAACATTTAACGCGAGTGAACCAGAAACAGAATAAATATTTTACGACAGACAGTAAGATATGGCTGGTTGTGGTATTGACAAATCTGTCAAACAATGCATCTGTCAAAATGCGGTATTACGCCCAAAAAACACAGCGAAAGCGAGAAGCCTTTTCACTTATCTGAACGCAGGTGAAATTTTCAACATAGGATCTCATAACCAAGCGGATGTCTGAACAGACTGGTTTTCTTATATCATGGAATACCAAACCATGAGGTTGTTTAAAACTACCACGATCCCTTCAATGTAAATGTATGCATAATAACTACCAGATGACGTTACAAGAATCGATCCTTTTTTAAGGTCAAATCAAGGTTAACAGGGTAATACGTCATAAGAATCGATACTTACACGATGAAAGAACTGTAAGTTTGGTCCTATACAGGTCCGAAATGTGTAAAAAAATGGAGATATAGCACGTTTAACACCGCTATCATATTAATAAATAAAATACACATAAACATTCAGGCACTGAGAACAAATATGTCTGAAACGATAATCGTCAAAATTTAATATGTATATTCTACAGCGACATTTACGTGGTCATGGTAAATAAGTTATACACCAACAGATTAAAATTATTAAAATAAACACATCACAAATAAATACAAAAAACAACGATTAAAATATAAATACTAATGGACACTGAGCTCCAGAGAAACTGATAAGGAAAGATGATAAATCTCGCGGATCACGAAAATAAGACACGAAATTCTATTAATAGCAAGTAATACTATACAAATATTGACAACTCTTTAAAAACTTCAAGATTGTCTGGCAAATGACAAAAATGAATGTCGCTATCTACTCAGCTGCATTTCAACATGTGTAGGCCAGACGGGCGGGGCGTAAAATGCAAAAGTACATGTAGAATGCCCACATGCCGAACCAGTTACAGCGGATTACCACGCATCGAAAGGAACAAAACTACAACAAATCAATATACAGGGTGTGGACAAATATATACAATTTTAATGTAACATTACTCATGAACCAAGCGCCAGAGGAATGAAAACTAAACGCATTTATTTTATCTATATGACAAAGTTTTATTACTTATAATTTTTCCTCTCTAGACAGCCTTGTTGTTTTATATAATGCTTTAATTAGGTCAAAGCTTGAGTATGCCTCGGTCGTTTGGAATAATCTTACACAGACAGATTCTAATAAATTAGAAAATATTCAAAGAAAATTTGCCAGTTTATGCAATTACCGATTTTTCCAGTTTAATATCCCCCGAAAATATGAACTGATCCTATCTACTTTAAATTTTAGAACACTTTATTCCAGACGACGACATCTCGATGCGTTATTTCTTATTAATGTATTTAAGGGCAAAATAAATTGCCGTTCCATTATGGACGCTGTTGGTTTACGTGTGCCGGCGAGGCAAATAAGAGAATTTTCTACTTTTAGTGTGAGCAGTGCACTAAGACATAGTCCTTCAGCGAGGTGCGTCATCGCTGCAAATGACGTATGCAAATTTTTGGACGTATTTAGCGTAAACATTGTCTCCCTTGAGCGATCGTTCTCAACAAGG